TATTGTCACTATGTGCAGCCTTGGGGCTTCTGTAGTATCACCTTAAAATCACAGGTAGATCTTTATTTTTAAAGGACTGTCATACATAACATATCTCATAATTTACTACAACCCTCTCTACCAACGCTACTATTTTTTTGTCTTTACTTACAATATCCATTTCTTTCTTCATGCCCTCCAATTTCTCCTTCTTCTTCTGCTTCTTCTTCTTCTTCTTATCCATGTCTCCATCCATCTCAAACATGTCGTACGTGTCCTAAATGCAGACAGTTGTTGGCAAAACACACATTTATGCAGGAAACCTATCTGTCCAGTAGGTTGAGATTCACCATAATATAGATAGAAAATGTAATATTCTTTATATATCTGCTGTTTACTAAGTGACCCCTCGAACAGCTCATGTAATCGAAATATTTGCATAAAAAACATTTGCATGCACGATTTGGCAAATGACTGCATTATTATACAATTACAAAGTAGAAGTTTCTTATCTTAAGTAGATCTTTGTACTATTTCAACAGTTTCAAGTAAATAATTAGTTGAAATACAGTAGTGTAGTATATAAAGACACTAGTGAAAACATCTATCAATAGGAATTGAATTACTTGAATTAATTGACCAATGACCTTCAGTGACTCATTTAAAGTATTATAACTTCTAATACACAGACTATACTTCTATACTATACTACAATTAAAATGTAATGCTATAACTTAAATATATATGAATAAAGTATAGTACGGAAGAAAAAATGAATAAGCAAAAAAAAGGTTCAAGATAAGCGTGAAAAAATCATATGACCTAAAAGCCTGAAGACCTGTTGATGTGCTCATATTAAAGGGTTGAAGGTTCAGTGATATTTCTTGAGACACACCCAGTGGAGTTTATAATTTAATCTTTCAAATCATTCAGAACATCAAAGGAAGTCAACAGCCTGCAGTGACAAAAAATCCCCCTTTTCAAATTCATAAAATAGCTACTACTGGCTCTCCTACCTGTTTACTCATGGTTGCAGGTGTAATAGGGGACTGCTCTCCTAAATCAATGGAGGTCCAGACCACTCGATCCTTCTTCACCCCCGGAATGTTGGCTTTCAGTTAGGGTCCAGTCCCAAACATACACCCTGTTTCTCCCTCTCCCTCACACACAAACACACACACACACACAGTGGTCAGAAACAGGACAGGTTTTTTTGGAAAAGCCTTTTATACATAACAACTCCTATTTTTATATGCACATGCGCACAAACTCACATCTGTTTAAACACGCACTTTTACATGGCTACCTGCGTAAAATGGTACCTCAAATAGCAACAATGTCACCCCTAGCCAGGTCACACACACAACACACACATACATACAAATACACTCATATCAAAAGCTATGCGTAGGCTACTGTTTCTCTGGTATCTCTTATCTCCTCTCAGCACGTTTCTTATCCGGATAAACTGATTGTGAGTAAAGAGCAGAGGAACAGTGAAGGTTAAAACAGACCAATGTCATTCCTACCAGTCTGCCTTACATTGCATACATTGTATCAATTTACACCAAATGCTGCACTACACAACTACAATGTACTATTGGCCATCGAGTTAGTCCGGAGGCTGAAATGGGATTGATTGGCTTGATACAGTGAGCATTAACTGAGAATCACAAGAAGAGGGAAGAGACTTAAACTCAAGCATGCACAATCCATAGCCTGACAGCAGTGCCACCAGGCCAGACAGTCAGTGTTGCCCTGCAGCACCACAAAGCCAAATACAAGGGGAGAGGACATGAGGGAGAAAATTGCCTGCGGCTGGAGTTAATCAGCAATCACACCTGATGCCAATCCCAGCTCATCAGCACAAGTGACATCAACCACAGAGGCAAGTTAATGGTGTCAGCATGTCCACTGCAGTTGTTTTTCCTCCCCCCTGTAGGCTAAGTGGTACAGAGACTGGCGGTGTGTTTACTCTGATGACCTTCTGCCCTCACCCATCTCCTCCTCTGTCTGCCCCACACTACCACTACATTTGATTAATACACCTCTCTCTGCAGGTGTGTGCACCTCATTTGTCATTTGTCACTTTGTGTGGCTGTGCCTACTTCATTTCCACCACCACCACAACTCACTAAACACAGAATGAGTCTTTACACTAGCACAAAAAGCATCTTCTTACAAAAATGTGATGCCTCATGACTCTATATTTTGTAGTTATATATTTGAATTTGATGTAACATACCAAACTGGTTCAGTACATTATGTTATTAACACAAGTGACTATAAGCTGCCATTTTAATTTGCAAGGTTGATGCATTTAACACCTTATAGGACAAAAACTATTCATTTTACACATGGGGCTTTTGGATTACAGATCATGTTCATCATAAAACAAAATCCATAAATCACTTAATTGATCATTGAGAATAATGGCCAAAATGGCTAATCAAGAATATCAAGAACAATTGTTCAGTGACATTCGAGCCCAGCACTAACCTGTGTGCTAGGCTGTTGAGGGTCATTATATCAGACATGCGTCAGCAGCCCTCTCTACCATGCTCTCTACATATCAAGAACGTCTGACAAAGGATGTAGAGGTTAAAAAAGGCACACTATAATTGCAGATAGCAACTCTATTGTGAAATATAATTAATCGGTAATATTGCCTATAAGAAATATCCCACCCAAACACACACATACAGCCCTCTAATTTTAATACTAGACAGTAAATCATTCTACAACATGGGAACGACTCAATTTTAAAAAGCATTATTTTGAATCCTATAAATATCATATTATTGTGTACTGAAGAGAAGAAAGTAAAAAAAGGTCACCCTGTCCCTTAAATGTTCCTGCCCAGAACATGTTGCATGCTGGGTAAATAAGATCCAGGTGAGATAAGTTGTGTTTAAAAGAGTCAATATTGTACTGTATACCATAGAGTGACAGTGGCTGTGTAATCAAAGTAATGTTATCAGGCCGATTTTATCAGCTCTAATTACACATTACTGGGGGGACAGGTGAGGACGGAGAGAATAAAGGGGGTGATGAGATGACAAAACAGAGAGACAGGCGCAGATAGGACAAACATACACACACACACACACACACACACACTCTGTAGCTAAGTTTAAGTAGGATTTAGTGGCACCCAGCAGTGAAGTTGCAGATTGCAGATTGAATATCACTCTTCCAAGCGTGTAGGAGAAACTACAGTGGCCATGAAACGCACAAAAAACGTGGTTTGTACGCTCTGGGCCACTGTAGAAACATGGCAGTTCAACATGGCGGATGCTGTAGAGGAGGAGATTAAAAACTACAATTAGCGTTACCTGTAGGTTTACCCAATAAACTGTGAAATGAGTGTAGTATCCAAACCTTGCTAATGTACTGAGTGACCCCGACATGAAAAGAAACACTGCTTATCCAACATAAGCATAATTTATTGAGAATAACATTTCACTTGTGTTATTATGCTCATTCGAGATGAACGGCGCCTCGCCTGGAGAGTGTTTGAGACCAGGCGGCAGCAGCAGGAGGAGGAGGTGACAAAGCTCTTTGATCAGGCGACAGCTGGGTATTTCCCATCATTCCCTGGGTGCGGTGGGTGAAGAGCAACCATAGATATATATACTGAAGAGCAACAACCAGATAACTTCTTATCAACCCTTTGCAAGCATTTGCAGGCATCTTTGACCTTTTAGTCGTTAATTGCTGTTGTCTTTATTATGATATATGAAGAGGTAGCTTAAACTGATTTAAAAACAAGTACAGGAAATAATGAAGGTGCTCCAAGGTTTCTTCAGGGTCTATTTTAAGCCTTATCTATTCTTAACAACATTAAAACTGCTTAACTGTTTATTTATGTATTTATGTGCAACATATCCCCCCTCACTCTTTTTTTAGAGACCCAACTTAAACCAGAGCAGCCTCGATGGTTATTGGGAGCAGCCAGAGCTTTATTGTGTCCCACAGAATAAACTGTGGAGGAGAATATTTCTATTTCTATAGTTCATTTCTTATTTCACCATTTTAATTGTACTTAATTATCAAGCTTATTAAGGTGGTTTAGTGTTTACTCACAAAATACTTT